TGATGATGAGAAATACTAAAAATAGATTCAATTTTCTACAGATCTTGTAGTTGTTGTTGATGTTGATGATGACGAGATGAAATTGATTTTTTTTTTTGGTCGGGGAATTTATGGGGTCGGGAAAACCCGATCCCCGTTAGAGGGCGGGGGTGGAGGTGGGGGCAGAGAAGGTGATAGGGTCCCCGTCGGGGATCAGGGCTGGGGACGGAGAGATTTTCACTATTGGGATCGGGGACTAGGAGTGTGATCCTCGACCCGACCCCACCCCACCCCATTGCCATTCCTATTTATTGTCATCAATCTACCGCTACCGCTTACCAACCACCTCTACCATCATTGATTTATACTCCACTATTGCCAATCTACTGTCACATTTCACTAACCAGCTCAATCGTTGCCGATCTACATAACTATCACATCACCAATTAATTTGTCTTACTTGTTGTCCACCATTTTTTGGTGACTTCATATGTTCTAAATGTATACCGATCTAATTGTTTTAATGGTGAATCAATTTCAAACAAATCCAAACAACATGATTCTTTGGATCTCACCCTTCTTTTTTCTTTTTTTTTTTCTTTTTTCTCGCAAGCTAGATCTACTGCAAATCAATATTTGATTTATATTTAATAATAAATTTATTAGTTTCTCTCATTTGTTATGGCCTGTTTGATTGGGGGATATAAAGATTGGGATTGGATATTATATCCGGTGGGGTCCATATATAATTTAATTTAATATAATATAATATTATGAGGGCAATCTTGGAAATTACTTGTTTATATGCCACAATATATTTTGTAAAACAAACATGCATAACATATATCCAATCTTATATATCAAGTCGACAAATATGAATTGGGTGATATATTATCCAATATTTATATCCTATTCATTATATATCCTGACTAAATCCCATATCATATTATATACTCCATTTTATATCCAACGAAACAAACGGGGCCTATATGTGTGGAGGGACGGATTATTAGTGAGGGAGTGAGTCAGATTTTCAGTCGGTAATTTTTTAACAAATAGTGACTAAAGTGGAGCCTAGCCTAAGTCTGTTTTCCGCGGCTGAAGCAAACGGCGCACCACGTGGAACCAAAATTCATAAATAGGACGGCTAGTTTGCTTTGTTTGGCTGGTGTCGGCTTGTGGGTCCAACCCAGCCATTAATTGATGCATTTCATTAAGGAAACATCATTTTGCCTTTTAAATTATTATTTAAAAATTAATTAATTTTTTATTTTTTTAATTATATTAATTTTACAAATAAATTATTTAATTTTGTATCAATTTTCTTTGAAAAAATTAGTCTACGGTCCCTCTTTCATTTTTAGTAATGGAAGATCCACAATATTATTTTATGATATTTAAGATCCCTCAACCGCACACCTATGTATTAGAGAGAAATTTGACTCTCTCAAATCAAATTTCATTTCTCTCCCTCTCTTTTTAAATCCAAACTTCGCTTCACTCCTTTCCATAGCCGTCGCCTCCGTCTCCATCGTCGTGATTGACCTCTTAGACGTAATCTTCTCAAACATAATCGCCGCTGTCTCTGACACCTGCAGCCGCAACTCCGCTGCCCTCATCTGCCGAAAATGGCTCCTTCTCAAACGCGCCACCCGCACCCACCTCACCCTGCACGGCAACGTCCGTGACCTTTTCATCGTCTCTATCTTGTTTTTTATCCATCTTTCCCCTTGACCTCTCTCTTCTCTCTTCTTAGGGCCACTCTCTCTTTTCCTCCGCCCCCAACTCCTTTCTTCTCGCCCAACTCCTCTGCTAGGGAGATTGGCGTCTTGGTGATTCAAATGTTAGAGTCAAGTGAGGACTTCGTTGAAGACTCTGAGTCTTTGTTTGTCCTGTTGATTTTGCTTCAGCAACAACGACGATGAATCCGCAGCTCTACTACCATAACTCTTGTTGTCTTCCATAACCATTAAAATCAAAGAAAATCAAATCAAATTGAAATCAGAAGAAATTGGAGTTTGGATTTATACTTTTCTGCAATATTGGTGAGAATTTCACTATCTATTGTTTATTATGTGAATTGTTGAATTGTTTTGATAAGTATAAATTGTTGAAGTAGAATTGTTGGATAAGCTAAGACAAATACTTTTTTCACAGAGAAATTTGTAAAGAAAGTCAGAGAAATTCTCTGTGAATAAAGTCAGAGAAATTTTAATTTTCTTTGAACAAAGCCAGAGAACAAAGCCAAAGAAATTTTAGCCGTGTTTGGAAAGGAGTTGTAATCATGATTCCACACTCATATTTGAGTATGGTATTTGGTTACAACTTTCAAAAATTAATTCCACACTACTTTTGAAAACTTGTTTCAAGTGGGATTTGAATTTTGAAATTTGGCTTGCCCGATCATCCTTTTGGACGTCCGGCCGGTTGACGGGCAGGTTGAGCAGAACAGTGCAAATTATTATTATTATTATTATTTTTTGAGCAATTGGAACATGCTATTTTTTATATATTAAATAAAAAATATTTTCTAATTTTTTTTTAATTTTTTTTATAAGTTTTGAATAGAATTTTGGATTGTGTGTTTGGTAATGAGTTATAAATTTTTTAATCAAATATCATATGTCACATCAATTATTCCAAACTCAATTCAAAACTTTTTTCAAAACTCATAACCAAACAAAATTTTCATACTTAAATCATAATTTCAAAACTCACAAACTCAAAATATAACTCTATTATCAAATCATAATTCTAAAACTCTACCAAACGTAATCTTCAATTTTCTCTGGTTTGAATTCGGAGAAATTTCAATTTTCTCTGGTTTGAACCCAGAGTAATTCTCTGCACATAATGAGGCGATTTTCTCTGGTTTGGGAGAATATTTCTAGTTTGGAGAGAATTTCTCTGGGAAGTCAATTTGGATCGAATTTTTTCTGCATCGATTTGAGGGACCTTAGACATTATGAAAATATTGAATATTCTTTATGTTATAAAATCTTAATACTAGGAATCCTAAAAAATCTCATTTTTTTTATTATTGTCAATTACCATCTTTAATCAAACAGAAGTTACTGATATAAAACTTAAATTTCATTTAAAATTTTATTTTATCCTCTAAAACTATCCCAAAATTTTAATTAAATCCTTAAATAAAATAAAATATAGTAGTCTAATCAATTCAAAACTTTTTTCAAAACTCATAACCAAACAAATTTTTCATACTCAAATCATAATTTCAAAACTCACAAACTCAAAATATAACTCTATTATCAAATCATAATTCTAAAACTCTACCAAACGTAATCTTAAATTTTCTCTGGTTTGAATTCGGAGAAATTTTGGCTGTGTTTGGTTGTGCTTTTGAAACGTGATTCTACACCTGTGTTTCAGTATGATGTTTGTTTAGGATTTTGTAATCACGTTTCAAAAGCTCTGCTGAGAGCTCTGTACCAACTCTGTCTCAGCCGCTCTTTTGCTCTGTTTTTTTTTTCAAAATTTTTGCTAAGGGGACGTCCGGCCGGTCGTCCGGCCGGTTGACCGGCCGGCCGGAACAATAATTATTTTTTTTTTATTTTTTTTTTTGCAATTGATTTATATAATCGGAAAAAATATTTTCTGAATTTTTTTTAATTTTTTATGTGCTTTAAAATAATTTTGAATTGTATGTTTAGTTATGAGTTGTAAATTTTTGTATCACATATCAAATGTCACATCAATAATTCCCCACTCAAATCAAACCTCTTTTCCAAAACTATTTTCAAAACTCTTTACCAAACAAATTTTCTACACTCAAATCATAACTCCACAACACACAAACTCAAAATACAACTCATACTCTCAAATCACATTTACAAAACTCTACCAAACGCTACCTTCAATTTTCTCTGGTTTGAACCCAGAGTAATTCTCTGCACATAATGAGGCGATTTTCTCTGGTTTGGAGAGAATATTTCTAGTTTGGAGAGAATTTCTTTGGGAAGTCAATTTGGATCGAATTTTTTCTGCATCGATTTGAGGGACCTTAGACATTATGAAAATATTGAATATTCTTTATGTTATAAAATCTTAATACTAGGAATCCTAAAAAATCTCATTTTTTTTATTATTGTCAATTACCATCTTTAATCAAACAGAAGTTACTGATATAAAACTTAAATTTCATTTAAAATTTTATTTTATCCTCTAAAACTATCCCAAAATTTTAATTAAATCCTTAAATAAAATAAAATATAGTAGTCTAATTGATATTTTAAATATAGTTTAGGGGTAAAATAATAATTCAAACGAAATAATAAGACTTTTATAACACCATGATTTGTAATTAACTAAAATTTACATATCTAAGGGAGAGCAAAAGAAAAAAAAATAATAATAATAATTGACAATTAAAAAACATATTACTTATTTTGCAAATTTAATCATCACAATTAAGGAACAAATTAAAATGTTTCTTCAACTGTGGCTGCGGCGAACCGAGCCCACGTCTTTGCGGCCACAACACGGAGTTCTTACCACTAAAGTGCAGCCACATTGCTACCTGGGGCTTACAAATTTTTGTTTATCAATCTATATACTTTGTTTTTGTTAATTTTGCTAGGCTGCAAATGAACAAATTGAACATACACACCCAACATTTGATCCGATTAATAACATTCCAACCAACATCACTTGACGACACCTTTAGGGTTCGAACTAATGGAGCACCGACAAACACTTTTATTTAACTTAATTTTCCTATTAACATTAATATAACGTAACTTGAAATTTCCTAAAACTTCTTGATTTTTACCATATCAACTTTTTAAATAAACCACTTTTGGTACCCCTAGCCTGTCTTTGAACCTTAAATTTGAAAAAATGTTGAGGATAAAGAAAAGAAAAAGAAATGTGAATGTAAATATTAGATAAATTTCATTCACATTCCCTTTCCTTATATTTTCTCAAGAACCAAACACAATCTCAGGCTACACCCCATAAGAAATGGGCTCAGGTTCGAGTCTCCTGTTGCGTGAAAACAATATCAGGGCAATGGAAGTTGATTGATTGATAGCATTTCATGTATACTGATGAGAGCCGCCGAGTTTTATTTAAGTTATAAATATACGAGTGTGGAAGAATTTGAATTGGAGCAAAAACTTTGGGCTGATTATTTTGTAAATTATACATCAAGTAATAAGAATGCATTTGAGTGGCTTTGGAGAACAAAACATCTACAACCCACCAGCTCCAAGAGCATCCATCGGCGTCAGGCATTTCTGTCTTTACCAGCTAAACTGCAATTCAATCCGTTACACAAAAGAAAAGAGAATCAGAGACAAGCAAGTACTAATAATGAACCAAAAAACAGAGCGAAAAATCTTATATGGTCATAGAAGCTTACCAACTTCTTCTTCTTCTTCTTCTCGATGTAAGCTAGGAGCTCTTCTTGTCGGACCAGGGCATCCTCCAGAGACTACATAAACGATACCCGTCAGTAAAAGTATAAAAAAACTCTGTTCACTAACGTCTGTGCAAGGATAAGCATAAATAATTGGGCAGAATCTTCTTTATCCCCTTGTAGTTTGACCACAAAGCATTTTAACCCCTTGTCATTTAAAATTATACAATTCAGACTCACATGGTTTGGGACTAAAGTGCACAGTTAGCACTCTTAACGGAAAATTTAAAATGGTAACATTGTCTTCCTCCCTCTCCAATGTGTCGCCATATTCAACCCACCACACCACCAGAATCAATCACCCATATATACATATATACCTATTCGTAATAGATTTTTGCACACATATATGTGTATCTGTCACTTTCATCCACTGTATAAGAATCAAGCAAATCTAAAAGAAATTGGTGTTTTCAATGATTTGAAACCAAAAAATCTAAAATAGTTGCGAGTCTTCTTTTCTGTGCACAGATAAGTAGAGAGAAAACCAGAATGGTTGATGATCTTAGTGCCAATCAGAAGAGGCAACAACTAGGGTTGGAGAGGTCAGAGGAGGCGGCAGGGTGGAGGGGGAGAACAGTGAGGGTGGCAGGAAGTGGCCAGGAGTGGTGGCAGTGGAGGGAGTTGGGGATTTGAAATGGGAAAGATGAAGAAAAGCGAAAATTGTCATTTTTCCTTGGGAATTTGACTCTGACTTGAACTATATTTTTTTCCATGCCAACTCTTAAAATAGGGTGGTTTGACACTATTTCAGTAAATTTTTATGGTGTTAGAAATGGTATCGAGGTAAAATGCAAAATGAGTAAAACCAAATAACAATATATGTACTGTGTTTACTGTTGCATAGTTTTTGTCCATGGGAATCAAACAAACCGAATTAAGTAGAACCCATGAGCTCCTAGTGAGACACACGGGCAAACCCCAACGGTTGAAATTAAGGACGTCATTACATCCATTTCAGCACCTCTTTTAAAGCCTAAGCAAAAAAGTTACAACTATATTAGGAGGTATTTCTGCAGAGCGCAGATAAAAGTAAGCAGTGTAAAGATTAGTCACCAGGGGAATCATATGTGGGCTGTTCTCAGTGCTCTCTTTCAATCATAAAATAAATAAATAAATTAATGAAAACTAGGGGTCACCTTCTTGGTTGCCATAAGCTCCTGCTCCAAGGTGTCGACCTTGCTTATGGCAGCATTCAGCATTTCCTCTTTCTCAGCAGGGATGGCTGCAGGTGTCATGCTAAGAACTGTCACTTTCTCTTCCAATTCAGACATGCGTCTCATGACAGACAAGAACTCTGCACTGGAGATGGCAGGTGCTGGTAACTTTCGTGGATGTTCTTGGCCTTTCATCATTGTGTTGTCATCATAGCGCAAGGAGTTGGAAAGGAGAGAGGCATCAGTGAGCTTCTTCGGCATGTTCCGTGTCACTCTGATCATCGTGACAACGCCCATGACAACGGCCATGACACCTGTGAAGATCTGGTTGCTGAACCCGTCGGGATTCTTGGAAGCATCACGCATGGTGTAACAATCTGCCCCTGTTATGTAAAGAAAAGTCAATATCAATTATTTGATTTAGAAAGTCTTCTACTCCCTCCGTCCCAAAATATTAGTCCCTTATTCCATTTTTTATTATTCCAAAATATTAGTCCCTTTTAAAAAATCAAGGACTAAAATAATATAAATTTCCTATTTTACCCTTCTTTTAAATTCATTAACACAAAAAGTACAATTATACGATTGATAACCAAACCAAATCAAACCAAACCAAACCAAGCCTTAAGTCCCATCAAATGGAGTCGGCTACATGAATCCTTCTTCTCCACGCGGCCCTATTAAAGGCCATTTCATTAGTTAAATTAAGTAGATTCATATCTCTATTTACAACGCTAGCCAATGTTAACCTAAACCTATCCCGTCCCCTAAACACTTCCATCTACCGTTAAAGAATCGCATCTCTTCACTACTGCCTCTGTTGGTTTTCGTTGAATATGACTAAACCATCTCAATCGATTCTCTCTCAACTTATCTTTTATCGGTGCTATTTCTACCCATTCCCGAATACACTCACTCCTAATTCTGTTTTGTCTAGTTTTACCACACATTCACCTTAGCATCCTCATCTCAACCATGCTCATCTTATCTACATGTTGTTTCTTGGTTGCCTAACACTCCATCCCATACAACATTGCTGGTCTAATAGCCGTTCTATAGAACTTACTTTTAGTATAATGGGTATTCGTTTATCGCACAACACCCCAGACGCACTTCTCTACTTACACCATCCCGCCTTAATTCTATGGGCCACATCTGCATCAATCTCCCCCACTGTTGTGATAATCGACCCTAAATAACGAAAATATTCACTCTTAGGCAGTTCTTGGTTCTCAATGTTCACTTCTACTTTGCTTTCATTGTTATTGTTATTGTTACTAAATTTACACTCCATGTACTCTGTCTTAGTTCTGCTTATCCGAAATCCTTTAGATTCAAGAGCTTTTCTTCAAATTTCCAACTTTGTGTTAACTCCTTCTCTAATCTCATCTACTAGCACAATATCGTCTGCAAAAAGTATACACCATGGCACATCATCCTGAATATTTTTCGTCAACTCATTCATAACTAAAGAAAAAAGATAAAGATTTAAGGTAAATCCTTGGTGCAACCTTACAGTGATAGGAAATTCATTTGTCTCTCTAGCTGGTGATCTAATAGTGGTCACCACCCCTTCATACATCTCCCTAATCACATCAATGTAACCTTTTGTCACTCCTTTCTTCTCTAACACCCACCATATTATATCCCGGGATACTCTATCATATGCTTTCTCAAGGTCGATAAACACCATATGACTGTCTCTTTTATTTGCTTTATACTTTTCTATTACTCTCCTCAAAAGATAGATCGCTTCCATTGTTGCCTTGCTAAGCATAAACTCAAATTAATTCTCTAGCACCTCTGTTATATCTCGCAATCGGCGTTCCATCACCCTCATCCACACTTTCATTATATGACACATTAGCTTGATTCCTTTATAGTTGTTGCAATTCTGGACATCACATTTATTCTTATAGATTGGCACTAAAATACTCTTCTTCCACTCATCTGACATGTTCCTGGTCAACAAAATTTTGCTAAATAACCTAGTCAACCAAGCAACTCCTTTTTTACCCAAACACTTCTAAGCTTCAATAGGAATATCATCGGGTCCTAAAACTTTATTTGATTTCATCTTCTTAAGTGCAATCTCCACTTCAAATTTCCTAATCCTGCGATAAAACCTATAGTTTTCGTTTATCGTATTACTGGCTATTTCTTCCCTTATTGCCGTACCTACATGTTCCTCATTTAATAATTTCTCAAAATAATTCTTCCATCTTTCCTTAATCTCTTCATCATTCACCAATACCTTAGACCCTTCACTCTTGATGCACTTAACTTTATTAAAATCTATTGTTTTCCTCTCCCGTATCTTAGTAAGTTTGTATACTCTCTTCTCTCCCTCCTTACTATCTAGTCTAATGTATAGGTCATCATAAGCTTTCAACATAGCCTCTCTCACTACTTTCTTAACCTCCTTATTAGCCAATCTATAGCTCTTAAGATTTTCCTCAATTCTATCATTTTGCTACTTTTTAAAGCATTCTTTTTTTGCTTTAACTACCGCTCGAACTTCTTCCCTCCACCACCAAGTTTCCCTAGAGCTGGGTCCCATTCCTTTCTACTCTCCAAGCACTTCCCTTGAGATTCTCCTCATACAATTGGCCATCGAGTTCCACATAATGTTAGCATCATCTTCCAAGTCTCAAGTACCTTCCTTATCCATTCGATTCTTAAATATTTCTAGTTTATCCCTTTTTAGGTCCCACCATCTCGTCCTACAACGCCCACTATCCTTTCTAACTTGGTATTGTCCTCTAAAATATAAATCTAGTACCAAAATCCTATGTTGAGAGGCCAGGCTCTCTCCAGGAATCACTTTACAATCATTGCATTTTAAGCGGTCTACTTTTCTCACTAAGAAGTAATTATTTGGCTCTTAACTAATCCACTTTTAAAGGTTATCAAACGTTCCTCCCTCTTCTTATACATAGTATTGGTGATAGTATTGGCCACCACCAGGTCAAAAGCCAACGCAAAATTTAAGATACTCTCTTCAGCCTCATTTCTGTCACCAGAACCGTATCCATCATGTACCCTTTTATAGCCTAATTTATCTATGCCTACATGGCCATTGAAATCTCCACTCATAACCAGGTTCTTTCCTACGAATATCTCCTGTAAGATCTTATCCATTTGCTCCCAAAAATCCCTCTTAGTCTGATCATCTAATCCTACTTAAGGGGCGTATGCGTTAATAACGTTCACTATATTCCCTCCAATAACTAGTTTAACTAATATAATCTTATCTCCTTTCCTAGTGACCACCACTATACTCTTCACAAGACCCTTGGCAATTATAATTCCTATCACATTCCTGCGTCTATCCTTACCACTATAATACAGTTTAAAACCGGTATTCTCAATTTCCCTAACTTTCTCACCCGTCCACTTAGTTTCTTGTACGCAAGCTATATTAACTCTCCTCCTAATCATAACATCTGCCAATTCTATCATCTTACCAGTTAAGGTTCCTATGTTCCAAGTGGTTACCCTAAACCTATAGTCTTAGACTAGCTTCTTTACCCGCGCTCGCCCAAAAAAACGTGAGAATCTTTGCCCATTTTTCACTGCACCTAGGCATCGATGCGGCGCCCCTTGCTTACTTTTCGAAATACCTGGAGGCAGGCGCAACACGTCACTTGAGGGGAACAACCTAGCATTTAAACGATTCAAAGTAGGATTCATTGTCATAAGGGATCCGAGCGGCTTTTTTACATGTTGACTGTCGGCTACTATCAAAGTGTAATTTTGAAAAATTAATATTTTTAAAGTACAATAATTGTACTATCAAAAAAAGTTAGATTTCCCAAAAGGGACTATTGTTTTGGAAAGGAGGGAGTATTTGATTTATAGTACACACGGTCCAAACATTTAAGGCAACAAGCAGGTCAAATCTCTTCCTCAACAGCACACATGTACGAGGTTGTAATGTTGTATATGCTTGAGTGTCCATGTGATGACATCATTTCTTAATCAGGACTAAAAATATGTCATGCCATTTCCACTGATGCTTAATTTTTCATTTCCTGGCTAATGTGTTTGACATGTTTAGTTTATCCATCATTCCATTCAACCTTGTTGCATGAGTATTGCCTAAGTAGATGTAAAACGGGGTCCACAACTTTATAAATAACTATTCTAGATAGAGAACCATGCATATAAGCAACTACATTTTAAAAACAAAAAACAAAAAACAAAAATTCAAAAACCATTACACTGTCCAATCTAGCACATTTGAGTCCATTTATCGACTTTTGACTTGCAAATGAAAATTACACAAGGAAAAATTAGCTAGACCTAATGGTTATTTCCATAAATTTATGCAGTTACTTTATCTGAAATTTTTAAAATCGCACTAGGGAAGTTTAAAAGTGAAAAAATGCATATGCATGTAATTGAATAAGCACCAACATACCTTTTGCGAGGGCAAATCTCTCATGTTCGACCACTTTTTGCCAATTCATTGTCTTATCAACCATTGGCGCAAAGCCTTGATAATCAAATGGCTTCTGGTTAATTTTGGTCGAATAAACCTGCCATTTTTTCCCCAAATGACATGTGGAGAAAGGATGTGTTATAATATAAGTTATGATGATCAATTAGCAAAAAGAAGAATCTAAAATGACAAAGATTATCCATAGCAAATACAAAGAAACTTGAGCTTTGTACTGCAGCTTGACCACTTAATGAATTTGCAATCCATATATGGTGTGAATGCTTATGTGAGTCTGTGGCACATAAAACACAATGACAAAAGAGAATTGATCTCAATCCATATGTTCCACAACATCAAAGCACCAATAACAACAATAATGTTCACTAGTAAGGGACATGCTTAGCTGAATGACATATTCTGAACACATGAAACTGTAACCATCTTTTAATTCGTGAACAGATGCTGAAATTTTTACCTATAATTTTTTTTACAGGAATTGGTTATCCATCAAGCAATTTTGACTCACCATGGTCTCAGTAATGAATTTATCACTTTTGAAATTGGTTTAAGTCATCTAGGTATATTGCAGCAGAAAGCTTCCAACTTGTACATTGTGACCTTTTCGTTGCTAACTAGATCATACATAAATTGTTTCTAGTTTTGTTGCTGAATAGCACAAGAAATTCAAATGCTTACATCTTTACGAACAGGAGCAACTGGACGGTTTGAAGAGAGAGAAGGCACCCCATCTGCAACTGGAGCTCCCTCCACACTGGAAGAGTCACATCCCTGATTTAATTATATAGAAACACTGAGGTAAGTACTACACTAATGATACGAAACACTCTTACCACCAAGAAAACAGTAACAAGCATACTAAAGAAGAAAGGGGGAACAAAGCAATAAAAATTCAACCAACAGAAGGACATATAAAAAACTACAACACATATTTCTTCTAAGACTTTTCAGTACCTTTATGCATACCATCTCATCCTCAGAAATTGTCTTTTCACTAGTACCTTGACAATTGGATCTCTTTGTGCACTTAGCTTCACCATTGTGCACCCTCTGTAAGACAAATGATGAACTAAATGACTTTACTCACCATAAGACTGCTAGACGAAATGAACTACATACAAACTCAGAGCACCTTCATTATTTCAGCATCCTTCCATGGTCCCTTATCAGAACGCATACATCCTCCTTGATCAGCACAAGTACAGGTACCTCCCATAAATTCTGGCAATTCGCTGCAAAGCCAAGGAAAAAGGCGAATGGATAGGCTCCATATACAACTTAACAGAGAATTTCACAAATACATAGAATTGTAGCGTAAGATATGAAACCAAGACGAGAGAGAGAGAGAGAGAGAGAGAGAGAGAGAGAGAGAGAGAGAGAGAGGAGGTCAATTTTAAATCAACCTTCAAGGAAATTACCTAGCCTCAATTATTTCAAGCAACTTGCTCTGGTACTTGTTACCAAGAACCTAGTGAATAACACCACTCACATATTAATTTTAAGTCCTTAATAAAAAAAAATAGCAGTCTAACTGTGCAAGCCAAATACTTACATGGATCTTCTCTGTGGTCTTAGGGTCAAGGAAAGTCTTAACAGTGTTCCACAACAATCTGAATCCAGAACCCGCATTGATGATGAACATGCGATTCAGAGTCTACAGTGTAAACAACAATTTGGAGGTACGTAAAAAATACGTTTAAACTCTACTACCGAGAACAAATCATGAAGCTAGCATTTACTTAACACATAAGGACAAAGATATAATTACCTCGGGATAATTGTCACCATCAATCTTTTGAAAGCGCTGTATAAGCTCCCTTGCAGATTTGTTAAAGTTTTTAAGTCCCTGTAGCAACAATTGAAGTAATCGTAATAAAACATTATTGTCAATTATCTTTCCCAGATGAATTTATATATTTTCAAAGAAACTCTGTAGTAGCTTTACAATGTCTGCAGTATGTAACTCATAAGAATGTATGATCTTTAAGAAACAATTTTTCGTTAATATTCTCAATTACCACTCCTTGCACATCCAGGATGGTTGTACTTTGATCAATGTGCTTCTTTCCTGCAATTGAGCAAGCTGCGAACTTGACATTAAAGGTCCTCTCAAACTCCTGCACATGGTATTTTACATAGCGGTCCATGGTTGTTGCTTGCAACAGCTTGGTAGCATCAACTTTGCCCAGCCTCTCAATGTAGACGGGTCGACCATCCTTGTCAACTCCGTGATGTCCTTGGGGATAATGTTCCATGACTTCATTGATTTCCTTGAAATCAAAATCCTTTGCAGGAAATAGAACAGAGAAAAATAAAATTCAATAGAGTTATCCTGCTGGCAAATTCTAAAATAGAATTTTAAATCATCATCCACCAATATCTCCAATGAATACCTCTGTGATTGTGTCAGCACCAAATTCCTTCCTCCACTGAAGCATATCGGCCCACATTTGCTTTGCTTTCTCAATATCAAATTTCCTGGCCTTCAAGAATCTGTGTACTCAAAAATAAGTTAACAAGGGAGGTAATTAGATGCCATATATGAAAAAATTTGCTTGCAGTTTGATTAAAATACTCCATCACAAAACCAGCTGCATGCAAACCATCCTACAACAACATGCTACTGACTTACTGCCAAAGGAGAAACTGAGGTATTCAAAATCAATATGTCCAAACATAGTTTCATGAGTGACAAACCTAACAGAAAGCTAGAGTAGCCATTAGTTTTGACAACTTGTTGAGTCTGATAACAACCGGTATAGATTAATAGGAAGTTTCTTAGTCGACAAAAGTGTGTGTTTATTTTTTTAAGTGACAAAAGTATATACACACATTTAAGTATCTACCTATTACATGACTACTCTAGGTTCTCCATTTTCTCTCAAGCTGTGTTGCCAAAAAGAGCCTCATTACATATTTGCAGTAAAAATACGCTAAGTATTAAATTTAAAAACCATACATTCACAATGAAAATAGGAATAAGAAACGAAAGCGACCTGAGCATCATATGATAATCATCGTGCCTTGAGGGTAGTAATTCCTCCAATACAAGTGCTTGACGGAATGCATCCACAGCCTGCATCTCCTCGGCATCATGCACATCCTCGATTTCAACAGACATGACTCTGCTACTACTTCTTCTGCCCTTTCTCGTCAAGGAATCTCTGAACTTCATGGAGGCACTTATAGCTGCTTTCTTCAAAGAACCAATTCTAGTCTTCCTCTCGTCCTCAGAGTTCTCAATTTCAAGAGCTGTTAGAAAAAGATTGAAAGAACTAGGCCTCAAACACAACACAAGCTATCAAACAAAAACCTTTAAAAAATAAAATAACATAAAATCCCCAAAATTGCCATTGCTACTTGTATTTGGTGGCCTATGCATGTAATAAGACAATGAAAACCAAGGAGCTTCATCAAACTAGATGACTAATTCAACATTAACAAGAATAACCGGCAAGCACAAAAAATTATCCCACGTGCTTTGGCAACATATTTCTTTTCCAGACTGATGAACACAGAGTGGTTGACAAATAATAAGCAATGACTAGAATTCTGTTCCAGCAGAAATATTGCTATAGTAGTACAGGGAATTAAAACTTTACAGACCTTACCTTTGTGATTCATTCTTCATATACAAGGTACTTCATATGACATAATCTCAAGATGTCCAATAAAAAATCTCCATATATATCTGTATTAATATAAAGCCAACACAGACTTGTTGTAAATGTCACATATTTTGCTTTTCCAAAAATGGCCACAGTAGTTTTAAAATTGTAATGACGGAATGGAAATCGGGAATTGAATTCATTATAGGATCCATTCTATCTTTATTTCGTTAATGACCTTTTCAGGGCCTTGGCCTGTCACATGAGTCTGAATTTCATATTTCCCTATGTGAAAAAATTGATTCAGATCCTTAAAAACTCAACTATTCATCTACTTTATTCCTCAACTACATATATTTGCGCATGCATTGCGTGTGCACCCGAAGCTAGTACATGTATGTATATGTATTTATAAGCTTAAAAACTCAAGCAAATAGGAAGACTGCAAGATGAAATTTCAAATATGTACCTGATTTGGCAAGTAGAGGTCCAGACATGATGTCGATTAGGTGATAGTTATTTACAAGCAAAATGAATCAGAAAACAGATCAGAAGAGCAGAAAAATCGAGCACTGATATCACGATGCCAGCCGGCTCAGTTCCAAAGCAGCTATTAAATGCCTGCACATCCCACCATTATTACAAGAAAGTGAGTGCCAAAAATACATAGTCTTCAATAATCTCACCATCCAAACTAAACACTCCAATCTCTACATAACAAGACCTCAGTCCAAAATTGCAACCAGAAACCCTAACAACACATTCAATGAGGCCTTGTTTGGTCATACTAGAAAATGCAAACTGGGTCACTTCAGAATTTGATTTTTACAAATCAGATAATTAGATGTTTTTAGTTGTAAAAATATCACAACTCCAAAATCTATAAATCTGAAATAAAACACGTTTATTACTTCGAAACAAAAAAGGAAATCCCTTCAGTATATGCACCTTATTATGCATTTTTCAGGTTATGCAATTTTGTGCTTGTGGTTCAAAAATTAAGTTACATATTTTTGCGGTTGCAATAATGTTACACATTTTTTTTTTCCCTAACATTTTTTAACCACAAAAACTGTAATATTAACACAAAATGTATATCTTCATTTAAGCACAAATTGTAGTAATTCTAGCATAAAATTACATAATATTGGCACAAAAATGCATATAAGATAAATGCGTAAGAAGGTGCATATGATAGGGGTTCCCTAAAATTGCGACATTCAAATGATGTCCTCTTAAACGCATCTATGGATTCATAGTTTCTGAATTAGTTACTTGAAGATGAAAATGATTCGATTCAAGAAATGAATTCATGATATGAACAATTGGATTATAATCATATAATTACGATGAAATCTACGAATTGTGTGTGTGTGTGTGAGAGAGAGAGAGTACCTCTGGACAAAATGATGGGAGGACAGGGAGAGAGAGAAATATAAATGAAGAAACAAGGGTGTGGAGATGGGGGAGAGCTGAGAAATCGGAGGAGACGACCGGCGAAGAGAGAGAAACAGACGGAGTCTCTTCTCCTTCTCCTCCATTGCCATTTCTAAAGAGAGAGAGAGAGAGAGAGAGAGGGGAGTTGGGAGCCGAAATGCAAGCCCACTCCATTCAATTCAAATCCAAACAGATCCTTAACGTTCCACCGAATTTCCTTTCTCTCTCTCATCTCGCGGCAAAATGATCTAGTACGTAGCGGCGCTTTTTATTCGGGTACACACGTTTCGTAGCGTGGAGTTCTTGGGCTACAAGTCCAAAACCTTACGGGCCTATTTTATTCTGGCATTGAGCTCTTGGGCTGGAAATCCAAACCCGTTCAAACTATTGCAATGAATGATTAAATTTCATTTTGGAGAAGCTACTGAAAAGTCCTACCAAGATGAAAAGTGTAATATAAGTTTTCTTGAATTTTTGGTACATTAAAAAGTCTTGTTTACTTTTAATTGTTTCCGCAAAATTTTATTTTTTATATTTTTTAGCAGTGCTTTCATAAAAAATATTACTAATTATTAATTTTTTTAGCAACAGTTGAAAATTTTACTACAGAAAAACACTATTAATTATTATTTTTTAACCACGTAATTAGAAAAGCATCACTAAAAGAACTTATGAGACAAATCCTTATAAGAGGACCTGTACGTAATTATCCATTAATCTAATGTGGTTTGGACAACTGGATTTTGTTTCCTACCTCAAATCAGACTGTTAATGTAAATTGTAAATGTAAATTGTAAATCACCACTACCACTCACTCCACCTACCACCTCCACTAACCCACTCCACCTACCACCTACCACTACCATCTACTCCACTACATCTCCTATATAAGGAGCCCCTCACCACCATTTGTAATATATAGATGTAATATATTCATACAATCAATCAATAATATTCATCAATTTATTTTACATGGTATCAGAGCAAGGTTAAACAACTTAGTAATTCCGCTTCACCGGCGGGCGGCAACCTCGCCTTGGCCGCCCACCGGACAAACCCAAATTTCCCTAATTTCTTCTTCAATGGCAGATTCTTCAACAACACTTCACCACCTATTCAGAACTCACAGCCGTCCCCACAGCAGCCAATTAAGCCGCCATCACCACTGTCCTCGCTTCCCCCACCTCCGCCTCCTTATGTAATACCTCTTCCTATCATTGTGAGTAAGCAACCATTTCTCTCTCTTGGGTGCCCCATCTTTCTCTTTTTTCTCTCCTCTGGACACAGTGGTCCTCTCCTGCACAGTCACCACCACCAGTTCATGGTGTCTCCGAGCTCGTCGTCGTCGACGGCGGCGGCGATGCTGAAGTTCGGTCATTCGGGTGTTCATTGCTCCCCATTCTCGGACTCGACAGCGATTCTGTTGGATGCACAGAAGGCGTATCAGCCACAGTTTGTGAAGATAAAGGAGCACCATTTTTTTTTTCAGTGGGGATGAGGCTTGTAATTTCTTTTCGGATGATCAAGCTCCGACCCTACCATGGTATTGCTCCGATCCGTGGCACTCGAAGACTGTAGAACCCCGCTCATACGTCGTCGGCTACCTCCCAACGGAGCTTGGTCTCCTTCCCGGCCTCCACCCTCTTCGGGGTCTTCACCTTCTTTCCGATCCCACCCTCCACCTACTGACAGAGTTTCACACCATTCTACTATATTATCATACGCCACACCCACTCCATTTCTTTATTTTATTTTATTTTTTTCTTTTACTTCCTTTCCACCACCCAGCACATCTCCATAGACACTCATCACACGCATGCACATGGCAGACACCACTCAATACACCCACACATTATACACGGCATGTGAGCCACCGACTGGTCCCTTTAATCAATACCCTCCTGTTTTCCACTGGCAGTGTCCCCCTTTTGCCCTCCACTTTCTTTCTTTTATTTTATTTATTTATTTTTTTTCATTAAAAAAAATAAATAAATAAATAAAAATAATAATAATAAATAAATAAATAAAAAAAAAACAAAACATTGCAGATTTTCACAACACCGTGGGCCAAGAACCCATGTGAACCCATCTCTTTTTTCCCTCACTCTCTCGTTTTGATTTCACATATCTTCTAATTCTTTCTTTCTTTCTTTTTTTTATTTCTCTTTCACTTTATTTTTCATCTTTTTTTTATTGTTATTTCTTTGCACCAACACACAACAAAAAAAAAAAAAAAAAAAAAAAAAAAGAGCAACAACAACAACAACACAAATCGAAACAGTGGGATTTTTCTTCTCTACTCTGCCGCCGGTCTCTTCTTCTTGCCTCCGTCTTGGGCGGTCCTTGACGGTGTTGCCTCCGTGCTTCCTAGACCACCAAGCAAGTTGCCTCCTCCCTGCTCCTCCACTACAGCATATGGCGGACCTCCAAATCGGAACATCACGGTGGCCTTCCGCTTCAGCTCCTTGTTTTCTGCCCTTAGCACGCTTATCTCTGCTCGCGCATCCTTATACATGCGTTGGAGCAGAGCCAGCTGGGAGTTTAACTGCTGCACCTCATTTGCCCTACTCTGCAGCCGGTTCGACAAGTTTGTGACCGCCGTCATGCTTTTCACACATGCCTTCAGAGTATACTGATTGGCCTCAATATCCGTTTGCACTGCCATTTTTTGCTCCACCGACTGCATCGGAAAGTTCAACGGAGCAAACCCTGGGGCGCTTGGTTGAGGTTCAGGGGCCACCGCACCAGTTCTCTCTCTTGTTGACTCGTTGAGGTCGGGAAAGAGGGTGAGCAGTCCACGGGAAGACGAGGCCATTTTCTGGGCAACAGAGTGTTACAGAGTATTACAGAGTTTCTCTCTCAGACAACGAAGAGTTTTTTTCAGAGTTTTTTAGCGGGTTTTCTGCCTCAGCCTCAGCCTCCGCTTCGGTTTATAAAGACCATGACGAAGAGGCAGACACGCGCATCATGCGCCGCTCGGCGCTCGCCGATAACTTGGCACGCCTTTTGATGGCACGTTTTTTTATGAAATGGGCACGCCTTTTGATGGCACGCCTTTTGAAAGATTGGACACACCTTTTGAGGGCACGACTTTTGAGGGCTCGATATCTATATCCATGTATATCTTTTGGGCAGCCTATATACACACTCATACAGTGTCTTCTACACCGGTCAGCTTTATCAATCCCTTTGTTTCAACCTCAAATAGGTTTCTATCTTCACACCTATTTGAGTTTGAGGGGGGGTTATACACAGTATCATGTATAAGTCGCCCATGGCGCACTCCCTAAGTCGCCCATGGCGCACTCCCTAAGTCGCCCCTTTGGTGAACCACCACAATTCTGCTACAACGGTCCGACATGACCCCATAAACTGTCTTCTACAACGGTCCGACATGACCCCATAAACTGTCTTCTACATCGGTCTGACACGACCACACAGTGTCTGCTACAACGGTCCGACATGACCCCATAAACTGTCCCGACATTGATTCCGGTCAGCTTCTACTATGGTTCGACATGACCCCATAAACTGTCCCGACATTGATTCCGGTCAGCTTCTACTATGGTCCGACATGACCCCGTAAACTGTCCCGACATTGTTTCCGGTCAGTTTCTACAACGGTCCGACATGACCCCGTAAACTGTCCCGACATTTATTCCGGTTAGCTTCTACAACAACGGTCTGACACGACCACACAGTGTCTGCTACAACGGTCCGACATGACCCCGTAAACTGTCTGCTACAACGATCCGACACAACCATACCGTGTCTTTTACAACGGTCTGACACGACCATACAGTGTCTCCTATCCCATTTTTAATTTTATTTGTCAGCTTATTTTTCTGTTTTGTTACTCTCTCCAAACTCAAGTTGGCTAGTACCTATCCTCCTTGAGTTTGAGGGGGGCTGTTAATGTAAATTGTAAATGTAAATTGTAAATCACCACTACCACCCACTCCACCTACCACCTCCACTAACCCACTCCACCTACCACCTACCACTACCATCTACTTCACTACATCTCCTATATAAGGAGCCCCTCACCACCATTTGTAATATATAGATGTAATATATTCATACAATCAATCAATAATATTCATCAATTTATTTTACACAGACCATGGTTTGGTTTTTGGCGATTACCCAAAAATTTTAAAAGTGATTTGAAATTTAACTATTTTCAGTAAAATTTTTTGTCAATTTTAAAACTTTTCAACAACTTTTATACTTTTCAAACTCAACTAGATAAATTAAAAAATAAATAAAATAAATAAAAGATTGAAAAAAAAATCAATTAAAAATAAAAAAAATAAAAAATAAAAAATAAATGGCTTATATATATATATATATATATTTTATTTTAGTGATTTTTTTTGAGTAAATTACTAGTAGTTCCTAATAGTTTGACTTAATTCTGATTAAAACTTATCAATTCATTGCTAAAAGTTGGTCCTCTAAATATCGTCATTAAAAAGATTTTGTGATGATTTTTGAACATATCGCTAAAATTGACAATTAATAACATTTTGTATGAATTTTGTTAAATTGTCACTAAAACTTATAATTAGTAAGGTTTTTTGTGACGAATTTTCAAACTATTGATGAAAACTAACAATTCTTGACTTTTTTTTATCAGTGTTTGATGAAAAATTTCTCTAATTATCACAGGACTTATTAGATAATAAGTCCATTTATTGAAACCTGCACATAAATTTTTTTATTTTTTATTATATATTATTCTACAATAGATAGACTGAGAAAATAAAAAAATTTGATACAAATTTGAAAAAACAAATCACTAAAGACAAAACTCTATTTGATTTTGGATTTTTCAAAAATGTAATTTTCAAGTTTTCAATCCATGTTTTTTTTATTTTAGTGAATTTTTTAAATATTTTAATCAAAATCTTTTACTTTCTAGAGACTTAAAAAGTATAATATTTGTGAAAAAAATCTTTAAATTCACTAAATACAAAAAATAATATATTTTGGTATTTGTTGTTTTTTTTAAATTTACAAATATTTTATATTTTAAATATATTTACATTTATATTAAGTGTATCTAAAAAAAAATAATCAAAATATAATTTAAAAAATTACTAAAAATAACACAACATGAAAAATTAAAAAAATTTAAAACCAAACAAAATATTATTTTCTTAACTAAATGTCAAACGAGAACCTAACACCCGAT